CAAGGACACTGCAGAGACTACTCATTCTGAAAGCTCCCCCGCGGGGCTCTCACCCATTCTGCCAACGGTTCAGAACGTTCAAGGATTTGTAGGGTCTTGGCGGGGTGTGGATGTGTCCTTCGGAGCTGTAGCGTTTAGGATTTCAGGATGTTGTTTTTATTTTTTATTTGTGTGTTTATGTGTGTGTTTCTTCTTTTTTTTGTTTGGGGGGGTTGTCAGGCTTTCGGCTGGACAGACCTTCCCCGATTTCGGCTTCTGTACGCTCGTGACTTCGAGTAGTTCTCGGGCCATCCACTCTTTGCCTTCAGAGAAGGCTGGCTCCTGCTTGGGGTAGCTATAGCTGGGGTTTTCAGGTAGCAAGATTTCTAACTTGTAACTCTCAGTCAGTGAAGGTCGTGACAGAGCAGCTGCTGGATCAGATAGCCGGCAACTACAGTCGCGAGCTAAGTCCCGCAGGTTGAGGTTGGGGTCTAGGGCTGTTCTGAAGGGTCTAGGGCATTAGCAAGAATCAGGGTTTCAAATCAGGGGTTCACGGCTAGGGGTGGGGGCCAATTCGCATCATGAAGTTAGCTTTGCAACTCTTGGTGTTTCCTTGTCTTGTCGGATCGCTCAAGTTTAGCTTGTAGTATCCCTGGCTCTTGGTAGAGTAAACCCATTCAGGGTGTCAGGGCTTTGGGTTGGGACGTTCCCCATTATACTAACAGTCCTTCATAAGGATAACAATAGGGGGCACTTTGATCCCTATTAAGGACTGCTAGCATAAGGGGGAAGCATCCCAAGTTTGGGGGGTTTGTGGTTTGGGCTGCAGGGTTCGAAGCTTTGGTGCTCCTTCTTCCACAGGCTGCTCTCATTCGCCGATCATGGGCCATGAGGAATCAAGAGAATGACTAGCCACAAGCACCGCACCCCTCGCCTTCATCCCAACCCATCATCCCAACCCCCCAAAAAAGAAGCCAGACCTTGTGGGTCTTGAGGTTCGGTGTAGCCTCCGGTTCCCAACACATCCCTTCGACTTTTCGCCCTGGGCGCTCTAAGGAATTTACTGAGATGGGGGACCCTAAACCAGTTCCGAACACTCTATTTCAAACTCGAAGGGAGTAGGCTTTAGGGTTTAGGACGCCCCCTCCCCCCCCCCGGCCTCCCCTTCCCCCCCAAAAGTTGGCTCTTGGTTCACTCTTGGTACCCTGAACTACTCGGACCAAATTCGCATTGGAGACCTGAAAGGGGCTTTTTGGTTCAGTACCCTCAACTGCAAGGAATAACAACAGAGCCCAAAAGATGCTTATACCCCCATTCTTCAGAAGACCCCAGATCTTCGGAACTTGTCAGTCCCCACACATGTTTTCGGGTCCCAGGCACGGGGTTTTTTCTCCAAGCATGGGTTTTGGGCTTACGGCCTGATGTACCGACTACCAGTTTTTGTGGCCCCCAAGCTTTTGATGTTTTATGTTGAGGCTCCAAGCTTGGACCTGCGCAGGGAAGCCCCAGAGCTTCGTTCCTAGAATCCAAGCCCAAAGCCCAAACCAGAAGACGAACCTCACGAGGCGCCTCCTCCCCGGACGGCGCGGTCCAGAGCCGGCTACGCCTACAGCCAGGTCGAGGGTTAAGGGTTTTTTAGGGTTTAGGGTTTTTTAGGGTTTTTTAGGGTTTTTTAGGGTTTTTTAGGGTTTAGGGTTTTTTAGGGTTTAGAATTTAAGGTTTAGGGCTCAGGGTGGTTTTGTGCTTGTGAGGGTCCAAGTTTACAGGCCTTAGAAGCGGGATTGAGGTGTCAGAGCTACCCCTGAGCCTCCAGAAAACTCCAAGGAGGAGGGCGCCCAGCAAGTTGCAGGGTTTCCTAGTTCAAAGCCCCTAGACCCTCAACCCTACAATGATGTGGACTGGAGCCCTACGGTCTAAACCAATGAGTCTAGCGGCCACCCAGGCTCCAGTTTCCGGATCAAATCATAACATCAACACTTCTAATCGTGTAACCGGCCAATAAGAATGATGCGAAAAGGAAGTTGAGCAACAACCCAACAACCGGGAAAAAAACCAATAATAATGCACGTAGATCATGATTATGGCTGCAATCATAATCACACGGCAGCTGGCCGAAAGTTCCTCGGTCTAAAGATTGCGAACTCTGGACGCCCCTCATACTCCTCCATGAAAGTCTGTGGAGCATCTTTCGCGGGAAACTTCACCGTCTAGTCTAGTTGGATTTCTGGTGGAGTAGTTCCTCAGCAATCCAGGCTCTCTGATTGACCCCGCATCCTCCATTCATGTCTGCGCGCCTTGTGGCTCTAAACTACTTGCCTACCACAACCCTGGACCCTAAACCCTAGACGCCAAGCCCTAGACCCTAAGCCCAATAGACCTTCAACCGACCCTAAACGCTAGACCCCAAACCCCAGAGACCCCAACCCCCTCCTACGCCCGTGAACGACCACGAGGTGGTACCTGGTGGCATTCCGCTTACCGCTCGGCCGAAGAGAAGCTCCGTAGGTCTCCTCAGTTGGTTCGGGTTTCTTTGGGGGCTGATAAGGGACCTAGGGTTTATGCGGCTTAGGGCAACCTAGTCCCTAATCCCTAGATGCTTGATCCTGGGGATTGCGCAGCTTCCATTTTTCTGTGATATCCGAACTTGGGGAAGGCACAACGAATCTTACGTTGAAAAATCCGCTCGCGTAGTAAAAGAGAGTTTGAACCCTCGACCTTGCAGGCGCTTGGTTGTTCAATGTTATTGTTGAAAGATTTCATGATCACTGCTCCAACCTGGCAAAGAATTTAGTAAGGTTGGCACTTGTGAACACGCAGAACTCGCGTATGTTGTAAAACTCGCCACGACGGCCTTGGACTTCAGTCTCTCTGTAGCCCTAAACCCTAAACCCTAAACCCTAAACCCTAAACCCTAAACCCTAAACCCTAAACCCCAAACCCCAAACCCTAAACCCTAAACCCTAATGAGCCTACAGTGGCAATAATTAGGTGATTCTGCATCCTGGGTCTCGGTATGCAGCATGCGGCTTCAGGAATGCACTCCATGGCTGGGCATAGCCCGAACACTTAGACCCTAAATAACCCCAAATTCTGCAAACAATCCAATAAACTTGGGATGTCCCCCCTCATACTATCCCTACTAAGGACTGTTAGCATAAGGAGGAACGTCCCAGCAATAAACCCTCAGCCTTAAATGTAATCCCCAAATGTTGAACACTTTTTGTCCTAAACTCTTCTGCCACAAAGGCATCCGTGCGACGAACGGCCAGTCGCCGAAGGAGCGCGCAACCCAGCAGAGTCGGGAGAAGGACACCAAGGCAGATGTTCGGGGTTTAGGGGTTTTGAAGGGTTAGATGAGTTTGCGGACGTAGGGCTAGAGTTTATGGGTTTTGATTTCGGGGTCTTGGCGTTTAGGTTGTTTTCTATTTTTTTTTGCCGGGGGGGGGGGGGGGCAAGAAGGTCATGGCGGGTGCCTGTGCTGTTTTGTTTCGTGTCATCGTGCAGCCGCGTGTGGCTGTGGCAAGTAAGTCGTGTGGGTTTAGGGCCGAGGACTGTTTAGGGCTTAGGGCTTAGGAAAGCTTGCTTAGGAAAGGTTAGGGCTTAGGAAAGCTTAGGGTGTCGGGTTTAGGGCTCTGAGGAGCTCAGTAATAGGGACCTCGGGATCCGAGAGTATGGGATGTTCTTATATTCACTAGTTAAAAGACCCCCTATAAGAATCCCTATTAAGGGATGTTTGTCTCAAGGGGACATCCCAAAATTCCTCAATTCAAAAGGCAAGCAGAGTCATCGGTTGGCCCACTTCGCGCTTGCCCCAAATCCTGGAACTCTGAAAGACTTCGGACCCCTCCCCCCGCACCCTCTCTCGGGTTCAGGTGATTGGTGGAAGTAGCTGCCTTGCAACATCGGGTGGCGCTTCATCCCGATCTTTTTCCGGGGTTCAGCCGTTCAACCGTTCAAACCGTTCAACCCTGGACCCTGCACTCTATAAAGCCAAAACCTCTGGACTCAAACCCCCTTGAAATCCCTAGGCCCCTAAACCCCTCCTGGCCCCGTAAACACTTGAATCCCGCAAAGCCCCCCAAGCCCTGCGCTCTCGTGAAGCCGCGACAGCCCAAGGTCCCCCAAGTACCGGAGCTTTGTGAAGGCATACAAAGACTCGGCGTCGGGCGCCTCGTTTGGCTGTGCGAGTGTTTGTGTCGTGTATTGTTGTTTTTCTTCTGGTTTTAGGGTTTTAGAATGTAGGGTCTTAGGGTTTAGGATTTCAGGGTTTTAAGGTCTGGGATTTTAGGGTTTAGAGTTGGAGGGTTGAAGGGTTCAGGAAGTCTAGGGCTTGGGGCTGAGGATGTGAGCTAGGTCCTACGTTTTGTTCTTGGAAGGTTCGCAGGCATTCTAGGGGTTTGGCAGGGTTGGGGGCCCAAGGATTTGAGAGGCTTTTGGGTTACAGGCACGTAGTGAGCATCGTTGTGAAAGCCTTGATTAGGGGGCTTGTAACCCCGCTTCTAACTGCCACGATTGGTGCTGGGCCTAGGGCTCCGTTTTCATTTCCGGGGGTTGGGGCTTTCAGGATTTAGGGTTTTTGGGTTTAGGGTGCTGGGCTTAGGGCCAGGGTTTGGGGCTTCAGGGTTGTGAGCATTCTTAGGGATCTAAGGGGCAATGCACCCTAAACCCTAAAGATCCCGAAGCCCCAAACCCTAAAGTTAAAAACCCCAAATTTGAGGAGGTTCATGGAATAGTGGTAAGCAGGGTCGCAAGCCCCTCTCAGGTTAGGACCAGTTGCAGCTACAGCTACCCTACCCATAACCCGAGATTGGCTTAGGGTTTTTCAGGCCTCGAGAACTTTACATAATGTAGGATCGATGTGCAGATTCAGGGCACATGGCTTGGGTTAGTTGCAGCAGTGGCCACGACTTCAAGATGCGCAGTGGACAGTAGATACGCATAGTTGCTATCTCTGTAAACTTGTGGTGGATCGTGTCGATGTTTAGCAACACTCGGTGTGCGGATTGTTTGTGCAGACGGCCATGGCCACGCCGGCCTGTGCACCTGAAGGCTCAGGCGGCCCGGAGGCTGCCAGCAGTTCGACAAACTATGTGCGGTCAGAAGAGGTGGGCTTGTCTTCGAAATCTGGCTTCCATCATGCGCACCCGAAGCACCCTAAACCCTGTAAGACCTGAAGCCCGGTTCCGGTCGCGCTAGCGCTGTTCCGCCTTGGCCGGCTCGAACGCAGCTTCCCAGGGCGCGTTTGGACTTCACGCAGTTCGGTTCCTGTCTGCTGAGCATACAAAAGTGCTTCACGAAGGCATAATTGCGCAGGTGCCTGAAATTGACTAGAGTGGTCTGCATCAGCGGTGTTGGGGGCGTAGCGTGCTGGACTTTTGCAGAGTCAGAGCCGCGACGACGCCCACTCTCACATTCCAGGAAGGGAGCATAGCAATCTTACAACCCACCCAGCGTGGTGGAAGGGGAGTATACAGTATTTGGTGGGCAATGAAGATCTTTCTCCTCTAAGGAGGTCTTATTTGTCTGGCCGGTTTACTCTAAATCGCCTGGCCTTTCTGCTCGGCTCAGGAAGGAGCATCCCAGAATCCCAAGTTCGGTGTGCGCAGGTGGAGCTGACGATTCCACATCCAGGTGATTTCAGGCCAAAGCAGGAGGTGTGCTCACGCTCGGCAGGCCCCCGGTCGAAGCCTCGTCTTTATCTCAGGGTTTATCCGGCAGGGAAGGAGATGCAAACAGGCTCCGTATCTGCCTTCGTCGGTTTCACGTTTCCTCACGATTGCAGGGTGCTGAAGGATGTTACGTACAAGATCGTTCTGCTCAACAAGACTGAGGCGAATTGGAAGCGCGTGGGCGGTACAAGCTCATTCTACAAGAGCCCTGCTCCTGGTTCAGGTCAAGGCCACGAGTGGGGGACCCTGGCTATTGTGAAGGTTTCGGACATGTTGTTGCCCGAAGCAGGTTGGCTGAATGATCAAGGGGAGCTGCAGTTCCGAGCCACCGCCACCATCCCACTGGAAGCCTCGGCTCCATGCCCGGCATTCTGTGCACAGCTGGACCTAAGCCAAGACCTGGCTCCAGTAACCTTTCATTTGCCCGACGGCCCGCCCTTGATCTTCGACAAGCGCTTGTTGGTGGCACGCTCCGAGTACTTCAAAGAGATGCTTTCAGAGGACAAGTGGAAGGAAAGTCGCACCAATGAAATTGACCTTACTAAGAACAGCGAGGCCAGCCATGCGGCGTTTGGTGGAGTGCTGCGCTTCCTCCTCGGAGGGCTTTTCCAGTCCCAAGGAAACATGGACTATGCATTCTCCGTCCGCCGGCTCGCCGACCAATACCGCCTCACAGAGCTTGTGCAGCAGGTGGACATTGACTTGGAGCGAATATTGTCCGAAGGTAATGCTCTCCAGTTGTTGGGCCAAACAGTGGGCAGCGGTGGGTTTCTGGAGTCTGCTTGCCTAGACATGCTTAAAGAGAACGAGTGCGAACTTCTCAAGCTGCAGAAGCACAAGATCGCGCAGATCATGCGCGAGAACCCTCTTCTGGCTGAGAAGCTGATGGAGCTGCTCTTAGACGTAGCAGATACGGCTCGGGCCCAGAAGCGGACGCGAGTAAGCCGTTAATTCTTGAACGGTTTTGTGACAAGAGAAGCTCACTTCTGAATCCTTGGGCCAAACGCGCCACGAAGCGTAAATCCGCGTTGGAGCCGTCTGGACTTAGGCTTCAGGGCTTTGGGTTCACAGTTTTGGTTTCCGGCATCTGCCCGGGCTTTGCGCAAAGACAGCCGCGAGCGAGGTTTGAGGAGATCCCGCCAGACCGATCTCTGGACAGCGTGGAGCTCAGGGGCATCTTTATTGGCAAAGTCTGCGGCTTCAGCGTTTTGGGTCAAGGGGCGAGAAGATAGGCTAAGTCAGGCGACTCGTGTAAGCCTCGCGGGGTGGGTTTCTTGGGGTTTGGGTTCGGATTCAGGATTCAGTTTCGGCGGCTTGCAGAGCTGTAGGGCGTACGGTTCAAGATTTCTGGCTGGGCTACGTTTCAGGTTTGGGTGTCAAGTTGGATTCCAGACGCCAAGCTTAAAACCAAGCTCAACACTGCCCCTATGGATGCTTCTGTTTTGCGTGCATGCGGATTTGGTAGCTTGGTGGTCTGAACCCCTGCACTCCAAACCCTAAACAGCATGAGGCTTGGCCGGCGACTTCGAGACAATTTGCGCCCGGAGCCCACGTCTTCGCACACAGCTCTTTCGTGACAGGGTCGGCAGCGTGCAGTCGGGGTTATTCAGGTCGTTAGTGTTGTTGGGGTTGTTAGGCAATGTTGGATTATCAGGGTTGTTAGGTTCTTAGTTATAAAGCTTATTGGGTTCTTCTAGCAGTCTGTTGAAGGGCAGCTAGGGTTAGTAGGGCCAGTAGGGTTACTGGAGCTGGGTTGTTAGGGTTATTGGGTTATTCCGTTGCAGAAGGTTCCCCATGCACCGAGGTGTGGGAGCTTGCAGAAGCCAGCCCCTGAGTGTGGTCTTTTCTTGTGGGCGACCACGCCATTTTGATGTTGCTGCTGTATCTCAGCTGTGCATGCCTGAAGCCTTAAGACTTTACCCTAAGACCTCCCTCAGTCCACAGACGCCCATGCTCCCATACCACACAAACAATTGAAAGTCGCGTCTAACCCCCACACAAACACGCTTCAAGTTCCGAAAGCTCCAAGAGCAAAATGTCCAGCATTCTGGTCATTTCCCATAGGGTTCTAGCCTGATATTTTGACGATTCTGGCGCAATGGGAACGATTCTTTAGTACTTAACTCCAAGGCCCAAGAACTTGACCCTAGAAGTGTACAACCCCACAACCCGACCAAAACATCGTAACGTCCAATACTCCGGCCCCCCCCCCCCCCCCCCCCACGGCCCTCACGACCCATACCCAGCTGAAAAAAACAACCGCCCCTAAACCCAAAGCCCTCGAAGCCCTCGAAGCCCTCTAAGCACCCTAAAGAGCACCCCAACTCGGGATGTTCCCCCTTCTACTGGCAGTCCTCAATAGGGATCAGGGAACCCCTCATTATCATCCCTATTAAGAACTGTTAGTACAAGGGGGACATCCCAGCCCTAAACCCTAAACCCTGAACCCTAAACCCTAAACCCTAAACACCCTACACACCTTGAACGCCCTAAACACCCTAGACGCCCACCATCTTTCAGCACAGCAGCCAAGGCCCTGGGCACCTGGGAGGCCAGCGGCCCCGGGCCCTCCGAGGCCGCGCTCTCGCTGCGCTGTGAGCCTTTTTCTCAGCTTTCGCATGTCTCAGGCTCCAAGTATTGGGTTTAGGGTTCAGGGTTCAGGGTTCAGGGTTTAGGGTTTAGGGTTTAGGGTTTAGAGTTTAGGGTTTCGGGTTTAGGGTTTAGGGTATAACCCTTATATACACTATACATAATAAGGGCGCCCATACTTCGGCTCCCTCTAGAAACAAGGTTAAGGGGAATGAAGTGCACCTTGTAACGACATCCCCACAAATTATCTTTTGAGTGAGTAGATGGAGTACCGCATTCTCTCATTCCCTACTAAGAACCGTTTAATGTATATAGGGTTTAGGGTCTAGGATTTGGCATGCTTGCAGCTTTCGTTGTTGTAGCTGCTTCAGGGCAGGGGCTTGAGGCAATTCGGGGGCAGGGCAGCAGTGAGTCGTGAACCTTCAACCCGCCTAAGGCGGAAGCTTCCAGAATGAAGTGCCAGGAAGCCCCGCGAGTCTCGTGCCATCGAATTTTCAGTCCGCGTGGCGATAGCAAGATATTGCCGCGTTGAGGGCGCGGGTCCACAACGTGAATTGCCCCTCTGGACAGAGTCCAGAGTCTACAGATTCCGCACACTGCCCGAACTCGATCCAGCCTTAATCCTATTCTACCAAATCAAAGGCCTCTTGCGTTTTGTTTGTCTGGGGCTGTGCTAGGCCAAGGACCGCTAAACCTGTCTAAGCTCCCCCCCCCCATAAAGCCCTTCAAAAACCCAGACCCTAAACCTTTCCCGGCCGAGGCACTGGAGTTGGAAATGCAGCCACCCGGCTGCGCCCATGGTCCTCCGCCCCAGCGAAGATGGCAGGAGCCTACTTAAAGGATCAGGGGACTTGGCAAGTAGGGTTATAATAAAGGCAACTATAGGTACAATTACTTATAGCCCCAATCATGTAGGGTACTTATAACCCTCCTTACTAAGTCCCCTGATCCTCCAAGAAGGGGGCACGATGGGGTCGGGGGTCGGGGTCGCGTCAATCGACCCCCTTATACTAACACCTTAGTAGGGACTACAGTATCCCCTTTTATCATCCCGATTAAGGACTGTTAGTATAAGCAAAGCCCTAAAGCCTATTCAAACCCCAAATCTTAGTGATGGTGGGATGTTTAGGTTTGCAGCCTGGGGCTTTGAGTTTTTTGAGCTTAGGGGTGCATGGGGTTTGGAAGGTTGCCGGCCAAGATGTGGCTGAATGGATGACTGCGTTGGACCCCCTCCCCCCCCCCCCCCCCCCCCCCCCTCCACATGAAGAGATTGAGCGTGCTGGATGTCTTATATTTACGAACTTGAAGGGCTGGAGTTCTGACCCTCGACTTCTCCAATTCATTCTTGCTCTCACTTTTCGCCTGTCCGGCCTGGTGGTCCTCAGGGTGTTCCTTTCATAGCCCAATGATTTCTGAAACCTGTCTGTGCTGTCACGGTGCTTTTTTGTAAGGGCCTTTAAGCTGGAGGTCTTCTTCGGGTACAAGGGGGCAGCAAGGGTTCAGGGCATGTAAGATCTTTAGGGGTCTTCCTGAACCCTAAACCCTAAACCCTAAACTTGCAAACCCTAAACCCCAAACCCTAAACCCTGAACCCCAAACCCCTAACCCTGAACCCCAAACCCCAAACCCCAAACCCTAAACCCTAAACCCTGAACCATCGGCGGCAGGAGGGAGCTGGACCAGGTGGTGGAGGCGGAGCAGCTGCAGCTCTGTTACGCCCTCCGCCGCGACGCCGCGGGCGCCAGGCAGTTGAGAACTTGGGGTGTTCATCATGGGTTCCTCCCTACCCCCTCTATACTACCCCCCGAGGTTCCCCCAATTCAGCTGATCTAAGGGGGAATCTGGGGGGGGGGGGTAGTATAGAGGGGGGTAGTAGGGGAAACCATGAGTTGAGGGTGTGTATTTCGGGCCTTGAGGGGGGAGTTAGGGCTTGAGAGCCCAGGTAAACATGGAACTTTTTTGGTTTCAGGGCTCTAAGAGGGGGTAATTCGGGCCAAACATGGAGCCTCACAAGGTAATTTCGAATGCAATGATCTTGGTTTAAAGGCTTAGGGATCAAGGGTTTAGTTGAATTGGGTTTTCAGCTTAAGCGGTTGGAGGGAAGGGAGGGGTGTGTGGGGTTTTAGGTTGAAGGTTTCAGGCTTTAGGTTGCTGGAGGTTTGTGGGGTCCAGGGTTTAGGGTTTAGTTTTGGCAGTTCTTGGTTTGGAGTCTGGCGTTTAGGGTTTCTTTGGGAGGGTTCGGTTGTAGGACTAAGGCTCTAGGGTTTACAGCGGTTTGGGTTCGAGGGCTTCTGCATGGACCAATCCACATTTATAGTTATGTTTGTTTATTTAGCATTTAATTTAGGAGATTTAAGTTGAGTTGGTGCTCGTGCATGGTTAGCAGTTGTAACACTTGTAGTTATGATTAGGGCATTAATTGCAGGATATGGACTTGGTTCAGTATGTGGTGTTCAAGGAGGGAGGATGAGCCACGCTCCATCGACGCCTCTCCCCCTATCCTAGCGTCTTTCCTTCTAAGGGCGTTTGCAGCACGGGTGGTGGCGTGGTGGTGAAGCGACCATGAGCTATACTCTAGACCAGTAGCACAATTCCCACAAAATGTGTCTATTGAAGTCCATGAGCCACCCCTTCTGATCCCTCAACCCTCAATCCGGAACCCTGGCCTCCTTGTTCGGCCATTGTTGTGGGCGTCCTTCCTTCCATCTTGGATGCCCAAAATCACCAGGCAACTGGAGCTGCAGACCCAGGGCCACCCCAGCGCGCGGCCCAGCCCTACAAACCCGAAGCCCCGCAAACCAGGCCCCAAAAGCCCAAAACCCGAAAGCCCAAGCCCTTGTAAACCAACTAAGCCCAAAACCCCCAAGACCTGGGGTTGAGGGCGTCAGGTTTCGGGAAGCAGGGAGCTGTTGTTTCCCTTGCATGTACTGTGGTGGGGTTCGTGGCAAATGGACCCCGAGAATGCGGCCCTTGGTACGAACAGCCTCATATTATGGCCCATGCCCGGGCTGCCCTTTGACGGCAGAGGCTGGGAGGCTTCAACGCGCTGGTGAAGTCAGCCAGGACGAGTGGGCTTAGGGATCACCGACTAAGCGCTGTAAGACGAGTGTGGATCGCTCAGCTCAGCTCGCCTGATGTGCTTGAACGTCATAGGCGCATGAAGGGTAAAGCCGAACTGCTACACCCTAACTCCTACCCCCTTATGACTATCCATAAAAACCTCCAAGTCAGGCTTATAAGGCTGAAGACCTGCTTGCCCTTACCTTCTGGTTACAGTGATAGCGCTGGATAAGAAACCTCTAAGTTTTGGCGAGGGTACCCTCGGTTTCTTAGTTATGAAGCCCACTCAGTTTCCGGAATTA